AGTTTCGATCCTACAGCTAGGCCCTTGTCTCGCCTCTTCAGTGAGTGTGTGGGTATGTGTTCTAAGAGAGTTCAACCCTTTGCATGGGTGTGAGGGAGTCCTAGATTAGGGGTGAAGGAAATATGCCCTAAAGGCAATAATAAATTTATTATTTTTTTCCTTATTTCATGATAAATGTTTATTATTCATGCTAGAATTGTATTAACCGGAAACTTAGTACATGTGTGAATACATTGACAAAACAAAGTGTCCCTAGTATGCCTCTACTTGACTAGTTTGTTTATCAAAGATGGTTATGTTTCCTAACCATAGACATGTGTTGTCATTTGATGAACGGGATCACATCATTAGGAGAATGATGTGATGGACAAGACCCATTCGTTAGCTTAGCATTATATATCATCGTTTCAGTTTCATTGCTACTGCTTTCTTCATGACTTATACATGTTCCTCAGACTATGAGATTATGCAACTCCCGAATACTGGAGGAACACCTTGTGTGCTACCAAACGTCAAAACATAACTGGGTGATTATAAAGGTGCTCTACAGGTGTCTCCGATGGTGTTTGTTGAGTTGGCATGGATCAAGATTAGGATTTGTCACTCCGATTGTCGGAGAGGTATCTCTGGGCCCTCTCGGTAATGTACATCACTATAAGCCTTGCAGGCAATGTAGCTAATGAGTTAGTTACGTGATGTAGCATTACAGAATGAGTAAAGAGACTTGTCGGTAACGGGATTGAAGTAGGTATTGAGATACCGACGATCGAATCTCGGGCAAGTAACATACCGATGACAAAGGGAACAACATATACCGTTATGCGGTTTGATCGATAAAGATCTTCATAGAATATGTAGGAACCAATATGAGAATCCAGGTTCCGCTATTGGTTATTGACCGGAGACATGTCTCGGTATGTCTACATAGTTCTCGAACCCGTAGGGTCCGCGCGCTTAATGTTCGGTGACGATCGGTATTACGAGTTTATGTGTTTTGATGTAACGAAGGTAGTTCAGAGTCCCGGATTTGATCACGGACATGACGAGGAGTCTCGAAATGGTCGAGACGTAAAGATCGATATATTGGAAGCCTATGTTTGGACATTGGAATGGTTCTGGGTGAAAACGAGAGTATACCGGAGCATTGGGAGGTTACCGGAACCCCCCGGGAGGTATATGGGCCTTGGTGGGAGAGAGGGGAAAGGAGCAAAGGAGGGGGCGCCCCCCAAGCCCAATCCGAATTGGGAAGGGGCCGGCCCCCTTTCCTTCCTCCTCCCTCCTCCTTCCTTCTCTCCTAAATCCAACAAAGCAAGGGGGATCCTACTCCCAGTGGGAGTAGGACTCCCCTTGGGGCGCGCCTAGGAGGCCGGCCCCCTCCCCCTCCTCCACTCCTTTATATACGGGGGAGGGGGCACCCCATAGACACGCAAGTTGATCATTGATCTTTTAGCCGTGTGCAGTGCCCCCCTCCACCATAATCCATCTCGGTTATATCGTAGCGGTGCTTAGGCGAAGCCTTGTTCCAGTAGCAACATCATCACCGTCATCACGCCCTCGTGCTAACGAAGCTCTCCCTCGAAGCTCTACTGGATCATGAGTTCGCGGGATGTCACCGAGCCGAACGTGTGCAGATCGCGGAGGTGCTGTACCTTCGGTGCTAGATCGGTCGACCGTGAAGACGTACGACTACATCAACCGCATTGTCATAACGCTTCCGCTTACGGTCTACAAGGGTACGTAGACGATACTCTTCCCTCTCATTGCTATGCATCGCCATGATCTTGCGTGTGCGTAGGAATTTTTTTGAAATTACTGCGTTCCTGAACAAGGGGGTCCTCGGTTGTTCGGGCTATTTGATATTGGCCGGACTGATGGGCCGTGAAGATACAAGCAAAAGACTTTCCCCCCATGTCCGGGTAGGACTCCCATATGCGTGGATGGCAAGATTGGTGTCCGGATATGTTATTTCCTTCCCCCACAAACCGGCTCTGTACAACCCTAGGCCCCTCCGGTGTGTATATAAACCAGAGGGTTTAGTCCGTAGAGGCTATCAGAATTCTTATAGGCTAGACAATTAGGGTTTAGCCATTACGATCTTGAGGTAGATCAACTCTTGTAACCCCTACACTCATCAAATACAATCAAACAGGAAGTAGGGTTTTACCTCCATTAAGAGGGCCCGAACCTGGGTAAACATTGTGTCCCACTTGTCCCTTGCTACCATCAATCCTCATACGCACAGTTCAGGACCCCCTACCCGAGATCTGCCGGTTTTGACACCGACAGGGGGCTCCTGGGAGGTCTTATATACTGACCCCCAGGGTACAACGGTAATGCTACACGATCACGGGGTCCTGGTGTGATCCTCTAGGAGCTGGCGATGGGGGCCGCCGGGTCCACCGGGTGCGGGTCTTGCCAGGTTCGTCGGGCGTGGGTCCGGCCGGCAGCACGACACTGTGGCACACCGTGTCTTGCGTCATGAGGCGGATAGTGCCGCCCAACTACAGGATTGCGTTGCTCAGTCGCCGCCCGCCCTAGGTGGGGGTGTAGGGAGCACTGTAGCCACGCCCGCTCGGCCCGGTGTAAAAGAGGGGAGCACTGTGGCCATGCTTGCCCCGTCGTGGAGAGTCGTCCTGTTGTGCGTCCGGAAGGACTGGTCATCGTCTTGTGGCTAACCCGCATAGGCTAGCCGGCCGGGCCGGGTAGCCATGCCGAGCCGGCTCGCGCTGGGGAGACTGTGGGCCGGCCAGCCGGATTGAGGGGCGTCGGCCACCCCGTTGAGGTTCCAATGCCTACCCGGGGTCATCCCCCCGACATATACTTTTATGAATGGTGTCGACAGGAGTTTGTACAATTTTGTGGAGAATGCTGGCTTGACGACTTCCACTTAGATAAGTGTACTCAATATTACCAGCTCACCGACACTTTCGGCAAGATTTAAATATATACCCCATCATACTGCACCTTGAGTTGTCTTTCGGTTATATGGTAAATCTTATAACATGTATATTGAAGAGTTTTGTTATGCATTCAAAATCCCATTTTGGGGTTCATATGATGAACCTCGAAAGAGTGATTTTGAGTTGTTTCTTAGGAGTATTTGCAATGGTGAAACTAGGGGAATTATACATGGAAGAATTTGCAGTGTTCATTTTCCTTCTGTTCGTTACTTTGGTTATTTCATAGGAAAGTGTTTGATTGGTAAACAGGACCCTAGTGCCACTTGTGCTCATGACTTAAGTAGTCTGCATTCTGCTTTGCATGGTAGTAAAATGTATAACCGGGGGCTATTATTGCTCGTCATTTGAGTAGGAATGCTGGTAGTGGTGATATTTATGAGGGATTTGTGCTTCTCCTATTGCTGCTCATCTTGGAGTGCCTATTTAGATTATGAACTCCCTACTAGTTTTTTAGACTTCGGGGCCATGCAGTTTCATGGATGCGCGAGCATCACCAATACTCGTCGCAACACCCATTCACGCTAGTTCCAACAACTACGCGTGTTGGTTTCAACATTTCACGCGTGCTGGTTCCAGCAATATGACACACACTGGTTCTACCATTCTCGAGTGCTGGTTCCAGCAATGGCGACACACGTGCTCGCCCTCCTCAGGAACCATGGCGGACCGCTACAGGAGAGGAGAGAGGGCGAGACACGAGCTCGGTTTATGGGGATTTGATGGCAGGTTCCAGGAGAGAGTCGAGGCGAAAAAGGAAGCGGACGACCTACGAGAGACATGCACGAAGGAGGACGAAAGAAAAACGAGTGTCCGTCATGCTTCTGAGCGATGCGATAAGGCACGTGATGCCCGCTCCCAGCAGCTTTCTACATTGCGAGTGAGGCGACCGGCCGAGCGTTCCGCCGGTCGGCCGGCCGGCCGGAAGCAATCGTTTTCCCAATTATTTCCAGCTGAGAACCTAACCGGTATAAGTAGAATGGGATAGGAGAGAAAATTAAATCCACTCTCTATTGTTATAAAAAAAATACAGTAAAAGGGAAAAGGTGAGCACAACTAAGAAGCCGGGGGCATGGAATTAAAAATCCCAAAAAAAAACCCAACTCTGTGAATGTAGCGAGGCAGGAAAACCACCGTGTTTCGCTTTGCTTTCCCTGCCGGCAGGCAGTACGCAGTAGGCAACCGCAGGCAGAAAAGCCCGAGTCCACACACCGTCTTCTCAGTTTCCACCCCCGCTGCTGGCGTTGAGCCATTCCCCTCCTCAAACCCTCCCCTCCCATCCCCACCCAAATGCTGCCCCCGCCTCGCCGTCGCCGCCGCCCAAAACCCTAGCCCCGCCCCGATGCCGGAGCCCCCCGTCCCGGCC